TCCTTCGATCATTTATCAATTGGGGAATGGCTTGTGTTCTTATAAATTTGTCTTAATTCTCTATATATTTTAGAAATGAGGCCTTTATCAGACTGGTTGTAAAAATTCTTTCCCAATTTTCTACCTGCCTTCTAATCTTAGTTGCATTGGCTTTGTTTGTGCAAAAACTTTTCAATTTAATGTAATCAAAATTATGCATTTTGCTTTTCATAACGTTCTCTATCTCCTGTTTGGTCATGAATTCTTCTGTTCTCCATAGATCTGATAGGTAAACTATTCCTTGTTCTCCCAGTTTACTTATGGTATCAGCCTTTATATCTAATGTGAAAATATGTTTAATAGGAATGTAAATGTAAAGCCTATATCAGACTGTGTGCTGTCTTGGGGGGGGAGGAAGGGGGAGAAAAAATTTCAACTCAAAAGCATATGGAAGTGATTGTTGATAAATCAATAAATTAATGAAATTGGGGGGAAAAAAAGAAAAAAAAAGAAAAGTCCACGTCTCATCATAACATTCATTGTTCTCATTGTTAACCAATCAAAGCTGATTGACATCTGTCAGGAATACTCACTCTTCAAAGGGCATATAAGTGTTAAAAGGCTGCCGTAATCTCCTGGTTTATGAAAGATGGCTAAATGACCATCCTTTTATTAATTATTCACTAGCCAAAATTAATAAAATGATTACTTACTCAGAAATTATGTCCCTTGAACCTTTTATACATCACAAAGGTATATAATTGTTGCTAAATCCTTTTTTCTTCCTCATTATCTCATCTTTTCCACTATTTCTTACTACTGACAAATCATCCTTTCTTTTAGCTCTCTAGTGATTCTCTCTCTAAACCAGAAGTTTCCAAACTTATTTGACAGACTGCCCCCCTTTTCAAAAATAAAAAAATTACTCAGCGCCCCCCTGGAAATCTACTTTTTTTAACCCTTTAACAGTTTTAAAAATTTGCATCATCTCAAAAAATATTTTTTAAAATGACACATCTTAAATTTAATAATTTACTGCAAAATTTGTAGTTTTTTTCCTGCACTGAAATTTTGATGATGCAATACTGTGTCATATAATCACATAATACTGTACTATAAACAAGTCATTACATGCATATATTCCTGCCGACGTATGCTGTATTTTCCCACAATGCCCATCAGGCTCGCCAGCCCACACTTGCTTATTAAGACCTATCAGTGGACTTGACCACTGATTTGTTATAACTTGCATTTTGTGTGTTCATTTGGAAAATAATGTAATCACTACAACTTCAAATCTGTTAAACAACAAATGAAACATGTATGAACAGTTTTTTTCAAAATTTTCTTTTCCTCTCTTCTTTCCTTATGCTTCCACAGTCCCTTTATTTTTATTCAATGCCCCCCAACTGCACCCGAGGCCACTATGCCCCCCTGGATCATTCCAGCACCCTCCAAGGGGCAGTATCACCCACTTTGGGAACCTATGCCTAAACTCTGAGTGCTTCTTCTGTCTCCTTGACTAGCTCTTTGAAATCTTCTCATGTCTTAAACATGGGCAAATCCTAATGTTTGGTCTGAGACCACTTCTTTATTCTCTTCATACCTCATTACTCTCCCATAACCTCATTACTCTCAAAGTCTCAATCATCACCTCTACGTAAGATGGTTCCCAAATCTCACATTTCTAACTTCAACCTCTATCTCAATCTCCAGTCCAGTGTCTCTAAATGTTTGCTTATTATCCCACTGATGCCTGAAATTCAACATATTCAAAATTGAACTCATATTCCAACAAAACCTAAACCTTGTTTCTTTCCCCAAATGTCTATTTCTGTTAATGGCTAATGGCACCAGAATCCTCCCAATTACTGATAGCTTTAAGGAGTCATCTTGGCTTTTACCTGTCAACCCTTCACCCCAACCAATTGATTCCCAAGTCTTCTTGATTCTACATTAGTAATATTTCTCTCATCTTTTTCCATAAATTTCTTTTGCCCCTCTTTTCTATTCTTTTTTTGTTTTTCTTTTTTGGTGAGGCAATTGGTGTTAACTGACTTGCCCAGAGTCAGAGTAAGTGTTACATGTCTGAGGCCAGATTTTAACTCAGGTCCTGTTGATTCCCAAGGCCGGAGCTCTATCCATTGCACCACCTAACTGCCCTCTTCTCTTTTGTACTCTTACTGCAACTATTAAGGTCCTCATTTCTCCTCACCCAGTCATTGTAATAAGCTTCCTACTTGATCTTCTTGCTTCCATCTAGTCTGTTTCCATTCCTAATCATTGTAACGTACCACTCTCATAACATTACTTCTCTTTTCAAAATTCTTCTTGGGCTCCCCATTGCTTATTACACATAAACTCCTGATCCTGGCTTTCAAAGTATTTCACAACATGTTTCTTTTCATCCTTCTCAAAACCCTCATTTCCTGTACTCTATGTTCACATTCTGTCTCCATCTGCCATTCTTAGCCTGGAATATAATAACTATCACCTTCATATTTTAAAGTACCTTCCTTTAGGACCCCATCTCAGGTGCCACGTGCTCCCCCACTTCAAAAGAAAGTAGTCTCCCTCTTTCCTCCAATTTCTCATAACACTTGGCTAGACTTTTCCTTTGCACTCTCCATGTATTATTATTACATATCTCTACCCATCTATGCATGGAAATTTTAATTCTTGCATTAGGATAACATTTTACTTTCCAAAGTGCTTCCATTGACATCATCTATGACTCACAACTATGATGACCATAGAACATTTCTAGTGCTAAGACTAGAAACCATAGGAATGGAGAAGCAGAGACCAGACAGCTCAGGATCTAGCCCTGAGTGATGCCCAGATAGGGAACATGAGGAAGAAGAGAGTCAAGCCAATTGCACTGGCATTTCATTAAAGAATTCAACTTCCTAGAAATATATTAAGGGGGTGTGTATGCGTATACCTAAGTTCTTCCTGGCTTTGCAAAGATGCTATCAGCTCTTTGAAGCCTTCCCAGCTCCCTGTTCATATACACTACAAACCCACCCCCAAAAACCCCTTTCAACTTTTTCAGCACTTCGTTTATACCTCTGCTATGTACTTATATTTTGATCTGTTAAAGCTTTTTCTGTACATGTCTTATCTTCCCTATTAGAACATATTCCAAGCTCTTTGAGAGCTCTTTTGAGGGGCCATGAACCAGACACCCTTGTCTCACCTCTGTTATCCTCCACAGTACCTAAAAATAGTAGTTATCTTATTTTCTTTTCTTATACTCATTCACATACTTGAATACTGTATCTAGTATTCAAAATTTTTAATCATTAGGCATTCAAATTTTTTAACTGAATTTTAGTCCCATGAACTATTTATTGTTGCCTTTGGGCATATGATGAAACCATCCTTTCATTTAACAGCAATTTCCTTCTATCTTCTGGCTTCATATATACAGGTAGAGTGGCAATATTGACATGATTCAGTTTCTCTAGTAATGGGTTGACTTAATGTTCATTAGATAATACTGAAATTTAAAGGACTAATAACTAGGTTAACATTTATAGATACAAAAACTGACTTTCAGCACCTCTGCCACTTTCCACAATTACTAGAGAAGTGGGACATAACTGAAGGTTATTTGGAACCTTAGTGTTAACATGAGGATCAAAAGATAACATATGTAAATGACTTTGCAAATATTAAATCATGTGTATGTGTATATAAAAATATGATTAATTCAAAGCAACCCAAGAAAGATGATTTTATGTGTGCTTGTGTGTGTGCAATAGATATGTACACAATTATCTTTGTTTCATGAGTTGCTTTGAATTCATCCCCTGATTAAGAGCCTACTGATGAGACTCTCCATACTAGGTCAGGCTGATCCACAGATCACAATCTGTTGCTGGGCATAGATCTGAAACCTTTTCAAAATAGTAGAACCTGCTAGAGACTGTGTGCTGCTGGCATAGCTTTTGAAAACCCAGGGTCACCTTTATGTCAAAAGGAAACACTGGCAGATATTCTCAACAAGAGTCCTGTTATTTTATGAAGATATACACTATCAAAAGTCACACTAAGTACATTGTATATTGATTCTTAATTTTATAAGTGAATAGTTTTGTAAACTTGGACAAGTCATCTAACCCCCCACTTTCCTCAAATTAAAGTAACTTGGGGGTAAAGACTGATCCTGACTGATAAGATGTGGAATTTAAATGAAATTTTTTTGCCTAATTGGAGAACATACATCAAATAATTTGGAGGCCCATAGGACTTAACTAACCACCCATCATTACCACTACTGTCCTGTGTCATGTTAAGGTAGCTCAAATCAATTAGTAATTGAAGATGACATTTGGATCATACACCTAGATTTTTTATCATAAGGCCCCCCCTATTTAAAAACCTAGGTTAATTGATCTCTAAGGTCCATTTCCAATATGGTACACACTGCATTTGACTTTGGCCAAGTTATCTGAAACTAAGACCCCAAAGTTCTTACCAATAAAGTGGGGATAATACCTGTCCTACTTACTATACAGGGTAATTGTGGTGAAAGAGAAAACATAAATAAACCTCAGTGGATAAAAGGATGTGCCATATAAATGTCATCTATGACAAAATTTGAGTCCCATCAGGTGTGTGTGTGCATGTGCTGTTATATATGAATCCAGGCTGCTACCTTTTACCTGAAGGTAGCTGCCTTTTCATTAATGGAAATTCAGAGAGGCAAGGGTCACTCAATATATTAGAAGACTCACTAGTAAGTAATAAAGCATTACAGTGACAAAGTATAAACTCCTATAGTTGACTGATGTTAGTAGTCTTTAGGCTGGACTATTCTGGTTTTTGTTGTGTGTGTGTGCGTGTGTGGTTTTTTTTTTCTTACCAAGAACTACCACTAGTGCTGAGGAACTGATTAGATGAAAAGCAACTTTCAGATAATTCCAGGACCAAGAACCAAGCTTTTAAATCATTCCAGGACCAATGAATAAATCTAGTGTTTATTCATTGTACCTTAAGCATTTTAGACTTCTCCATTATTTAATTGCTTTCCATTTTTATTTATTTTATGTAAAGTCAGTTTAAAATGAAACAGTTGAAAGAAACATGATGATAAAGACAAACCACAAAAGTACCAGGTACAATATCTAACAGTTATCACTTTGAACACTGAAGAGGCAAAAGAACCACTTATACACATTCCTCAACATCTCCAAAAGATATATCTTTGTACAAAAAAGTACTATAATAACACAAGTCTAATTCAATGTAAACCTAACATCAAGCAGCAAGTTGACAATGTTTTGTAGCACATCACATAGTATTTACTGTAAGTAGCCACAGCAGCAGTATTTGGTGAATGAGCTGCATAGAATTAAGCTTTTGGATATATGTTAAACACTCACCATAAAGTAAAAGTCATCAAGTGCTTGTTAAAACAGATTTTTTTTAAACCCTCTACTAATAATTTTAAAAGAGAATTAAGCTCTTTATGCTTTCTAGGTTCAAAACCATAATTTATCTAATTATTGAAAGCAGACAATACCCAGTGTTTAGTCTAGACTTCATAGCAAAAACCTATTCTAATAACTGTTTTGTACAGTATGTATTGTGATTGCTGTTCATTTTATTAAGAGGCAACTTCAAATAAGGAAATATTTGAAGTCTGGCAAACTAAAACCTAAAGTTACATTCACTTAATGGGGTATGACACTAAGGCATACTTTTTTAAGACAAATATCACTTTTTAAAGATTATATCATTGATTTAAATGATTTGTGTTTAAGATTTTTCTTTTGTTAAAAATAAAAAGATGAGCTATGTTTCACATTTTACAAAAATGTATGTTGGTAAAAATGTGAAAATATTCTAAAAGCATATCTCCAGAACTCAGACCTCATGAAGTTCTACACTTTTACTCAAACAGAACCTTGACATGTTTTTGTGAACTTGCATAACACTCCATTACAGTTAAGTGTCATAGGACACTGGCCAAAAGTCTCTAACCTGGTTATTTCTCATATTCCTATAATGCATTTACATCTTCATTATCAAATTCATTAGAAAGATTTCATATTCTATGAATACTAATGTTAGCTTACTAAAAAGATCAAGAGCATTATTTAACAGTGTTATTCAAAGGATTAGTGTTATTGGCATCTAGTTCACAGCATTGCAACTGATTTGGCTAATCTTCATTCAGATAACTACCTAACCTACAAGGCTACATATATCCTCTTAGGTAGAAGGAAGAGGAATATTTGGGAATAGAGTCAGGGAAAGACAAACAAAGCTCGAGTTCTGAACTACAGAATTACTTTCCATAGTACTATACACTTGATTAAAATAAGCATTCAATTCTAGAATCAGTATCTGCTTTCTCATAAAATTGAAGTTTGGTTCAAGGTCACCATCATGCTAAGCATACAAGAATTCAACTAATGAGGAAATCTTATATTCTGATTTACATATTTTACAGCAATAAAACTTCTGAAAGTTGAAAATGATTATGGGCTATTCCTACTGCTCTTCTTAAAGACTAGAAAGTACAGTAAAGGAGGTGCATTATTCAGATAAAAAAAGAATTGCCAACAGAATTAGAAAGTAGAAGTTAATACTCCACTAAGCATATAGGATTTGGCATCCATTTCTCTTTCTATTCCATTTTAGAATATGGCTAGAAATATGTGTTCTAAATGCTAAAACTGTAATATGATATAATATGGAAGTGTGACACTTCCTTTAAAAGTGGATGGCCCTGAAGAGAAAAGGTTCACTTATCATGAATAAACTAGGAAAAAATTAAACTATACCGTGCAGAAATGTGGGAATCTAACATCTTGAATTAACAAACCAATCAATGTCAGTTCATAGCTAGAAGAATTTTATATTACCAACATCAGTGATTCCCTTTCCACAAAATTATATTGACAAACCAGATATTGACTAACTGAAGGATAAGCCTCCTAATAACAGAGCTGGCCCAAAAGTAGAACAGGTAGCAACGTCAATTCAGATACTATCACTTAATGAGTGGGCAAGGGTTGAGTATCAATGTTTTTGTGGGTTCCCTCCTTCTAACCCAATATAAAAAAGGTTAAATACAAAATTCCCTGAAAATTATAACCTTGCAAAAACAAAGCATAGTTATAGCATAAGTGTCAGAACATAGCACCCTCCCTTGTCATTCTCCTCTTCCCCCCCCCAAAAAATACTTGATATGGAAGCAATTATTTTGGAATGATTATTCTTCTATAATTTTCAGGGAAGGGTCAAAAGATATTCATCCTACAATAATACTGGCACAAAAGGAAGGCTACTAGTTATTTAGTATTTCTCAGCTAAGTATGGTCAGCATAGGCTGTAATACAGAATCTAGTTATTATAATTAAGCTACAAAATTTTCAATTTAATTGTTCTTTTCTCAGAACTAAGGATCTATTTGGGTGATTATTTCAGTTCCCTTGTGCTTTACACAAGTCACCCCACAAATCCAGGATTAATGATTCATATGTTTACCTGTTCAGAAACAGTGTTTTGACACCCGTAACATAAAAAGTACGAAATCAACCAAGGGATTATCTAAAAAAAGCAAGCACAAGACGGATGGTCCTAAAACATAAATTCTAAGGTTAATCTTTCCCCCAAAGTTTGGGGCAAAAAAAAAAAAAGATTGTGGTCTTTGGATCAATCTTCTTTCAGAATTCCTGAACAGCCACAACAAAAAATTTAATCAGTTAACACTGATAAAACTTGTGTGCAACAGGAAAAATTCAGGAAGCATTAACTGCACCATTAAACAAGTATACCACCATCAGGAAACATGAACTACCCAAAATGATTATACAATACTATAGAAGGAGTATATGAAGTTTTGTAAAAATTGTTTGACAGGAACAAGAAAAAAAAAGATATTTGGTAGCAAACACATGATGTAAAAAATACTTAGACCTTATATAGTGGGATGATATGTTATTAGTACTTGAATGAGGCAAGTAACAAACAGTGAAGAATCCACAAACCTTTTTATCTCTGGTAACCACCATGTCTGAAGTTCTTGTAAGACAAACATGGATGCCTAGCAACAGTTATTGTACATGTATGCAAGTTTTAACTCTTTCTACCATTATCTATCCCTCTTTTCTCTCAAAAAAAAAGGACATTTGCAATCATCTCACTAAATTTTAAGGATAGCTATCTCCACAACTAATGAATCTAGCATGAAGTCCTTTTGTATAAAAGAGTAATGAAAACTCTTTCTAAAGCTGGAATCTTAAGAAATATCTTTCAGGTGATCATGGGTTTTTGAACAAATCACATAGAAACAAATATATTTTAAAAAAGAAAAATCAATAAAGGGTCAAACCAAGTTTGCTAATAAATAATTTTTGTGCTATAAAGAAAACTACTGCTTTTACATTTACCATAGTCAGACCAATAGAAGGAAATAAATCAAAGAACCAGGAAGTAGTACACATGGCTACTTTTTTAAGATGGAAAAACTTGCAATGGTCTAGTTTGGTTTTTATTCCCTTTATTTCTATATGGCTTTCATGCAAACCTCTTCTAAATACCTAAAGTAGTTATGCATTTAAAATCCAAGAATACAAGTTGTTTAGTCAGAATCTCAGTAAATCCTAAAACCATTGAATCACACAGAAGCAACCACTTTTCATCGCTTCTTAAGGAGATATGCCCGAGGTGCTGCGATGTTAGGTTGAGGTTTCTTCTACAGGTGGCCTCCGATGCCAGACAGATTTGGGTCTCATCCTCTGGGGAGTGGGCGGAGACTCAGGCTCTGCTTCTGACTCTGAAGGCTCATTATCTCCCTGTTGGGATCCTGTGTCTCCTATTAGTTCTCTGAGGAACTTGAATTTGGACAAAAACAGATGCCAAACGACATACCAACCTGCAGAAATAAACATTTTTAAAAAAATTATTTCATGAAATACCATTAATTTAGAATACAATGATTTCTGACATTTTGATAGAGATAAGACCTCTTTTTAACTTCAAATAAGCAAGCTAGTTTCTTTTATCTAAAAAATAATGGAAGATTAAAATAACTAAGAGAGCACATATTAGTCCTAATTTTTATTTTAAGGCAATTGGGGTTAACCCAGGGTCACACAGCTAGTAAGTGTCAAAAGTGTTTGGTCTGAGGCAGTATTTGAACTCAAGTCCTCCTGACTTCAGGGCCAGTGCTCTATCCACTGCACCACCTAGCTGCCCCAAGTACTAAATTTTTTTAAAAGCATGGTACTAGGAAAAGATTCTCAACTCCCCAGCCCCAAAGATTCAATGTGAAGATGTGTTGTATTTTTTTTAAGTCCTTATACTAAACTTCCAAACTAATTTTGAATTTGAAAAGATTCAAAGGAATCTAATTCAACACAGTATAAGTCATTCTGTATCCTCACCACACCCTCAGTTAAATTTAGAAATGTTTAGGAGTTTCCATAGTGAGAAAATATATACAGGATATATTAACAAATCTAGGATACCTGAATCTTCAGCAATTTCATATAAAAATTATTTTAAAATTCTAGTGGAATTGCTATGAAAATACTGCATAGAGAGCAAAGTTTTGCCAAAGGTTACCTGTTATGTAGCGTAGGACAACATTACAATACTGTAGTATTACTGTGAGGAGGATTTTTACTCTTTATTTTTATCTAATCTACTTTCACAGTGTTAATGGTTTTGTTACTCCAAATCTGAGAGCTGATTAATAGTTTTAAAAAATCAGACAATATAGTATATGCCTAAAATATCTTCTTAACTCTTCTTGATTGCCCTGAAACTCTAAGAGCACAAAGTAAACAAAAGCTTCCAGAGTTTTTCCTTGCTGTCATTTCTTTGATATTGTTTACTTCAAACTACCCAACTTCACACAAAAGCCCTGGACTATTGCATAGTCCAATGATTAGTACTTTTGTTAAGAAATCCAAGTAGCACCCAGATTTCCCCCATACATTTTTTAAACACACCTGCAAGGATGCTAATATAAATGGCAATTTTTGATATCTTGGTACTTCTAATATCAGGTACTTCGCACCTTCACCTGTTTCATAATTATTTCAAAAACAAAGGATTAACAGGAATACCAGGATGCCAAAATATTACTGAAATATAAGGCCTAAACATTATACACCACTCAATTATCTTCAAGCTTTCTAATTAATATTAACTAAACTACACTGTATGCTAATGATTCTCAGATCTTAATCCAGCCCTAATCACTCCTCCAGTCTTGCATCTTCAACTGCCTATTGGACATCTCAAACTGAAGTCCAATGGACATCTAAAACTCCAATATGGCCAAAACTGGTCTCATTGGCTTTCCCTCCCTGATTCCAAACTGTCAAGTATGCTACCATCCTCTCAGTCACCCAGCTGTATGATCTAGATTGTAACTCCTACTCTCCCTTACTCCACCCTCACATCCAGTCTACGCCAACTCCTATTGATTTTACCTCTGTAATATTCCTCAAATACATCCCTTTCTCTTCTCCGACGGTGCCAACATTCTGGGTGCAAGCCCTCCTCATCTCATATCTGGCCTACTGCAATATCTTAGAGGTTGGTCTTCATGCCACAAATTTTTCCCTACAACAATCCATCCTCTATTCAGCTGTCAATTTAATCTTCATAAAGCACAAATCTGACCACGTCTCCTCTCTATTCAATAAATTCCAGATATCCTTTACAACCTACCCTCCCTCCAACTTTTCTAGTTTTCTTACACTTCACTTCACTCTGTGGTAGCTACTATAAATGAGGAAACAGACTCAAAGGGTAAACAAGTTGCCCATGGTCACAACGCCAGGAAGTTTCAAAACTGGGACTTGAAACCCAAGCTTCCTCCGGACTCCAAATGCAACATTCCTCCAAAATCAGACTATCTCCAACTAGTTAAGAGGCAGGAAATAAAGTAAGTGTACTCTGCTTCAGAGGCTTCCTCTTTTTATCCTATACATGATTCACACTGTGGTTTAGATAATTATATAATTCTTCCACATGTCAAAGTTCCATTGTTCTATTGATTCAAATCACAATTCTTTACACCTTAAGTGACCTGCTCCAAAAAAATTCCCAAATGCAGGTAAGCTTCTCTGACCATAGCTGATTTGTCCATCAGATGATCCAACAAATCCCATTCCAGCTCTATAAGACCCACCAGAACTTATATTGCATAAGTACAGCACAAGGTCACCATGCCATGATAAGGCATCAAAGGTTCTGGAAGAGAAAAGATTTATATAAGGACCATTAAGAGTTACTAGGATGTTACTCCACAACAAGCAAACATTTTTGTTACAAAAGCATTCAGCAAATAATTTATCATCTCACAGATGCAAAGGGCAACGGAAAGATGTACAAAATGTTACTGTTTTAATAAGATCTGTTAAAGAATGTCATACCAATTTATTCCCTGTTGTACCAAGACCCCAATATAGGCTACTCATCCAGAATCATAGCCTCAGTTCTCTGTATTTCTTTATTTTCCCTACTAAACTAGTAGCCACAAAGGCATGGACTGTGCTACTTAAACTTTTATTCATCCCATATTTAGCCATCTAATAGATGCCAACAAATACAAATCAATTTCAAATAAGACAAATTTGGACAGGCTGGGAGGACTTTATAAGGAAGGGCAGTCTCCAGTCATTCTTTATAAATTTATAAATTCAGGGCCCATGGAACAAAACTTTAATTTATAACTTTAGGGCAAGAACTATCATTTTTTTTTCCAGAGAGAAAGCTCTCTGTGGGTTCTCCAATTTTCTTCCCTCCAAAGCAGTGGCGCAAGAAAAAGTCAGATTCCTTGAGGCTGGTTTTCATGTCACAAGACAAGATATGATGGAGATTTACTGTGCTAAGGACAGGAAGATCAATATCATTTGATCATTCACCATTTATCATCTATGCCTTCTCAGTTACACTGGAGTTTCTTTTGGTGTACAAAAGAACTGTTCCTCATCCTTTTAAAGCAAACTCAGACACTGGAGATGCAAAAAAGGCTTATGTTTTGAAACTAGAAAAAGTCAAATCGGTCAGTCTTGAATACTGAATCTGGTGTAAAGGAAGTGCAAGGGGGTTAGGGAGTAGTCATCAAGTACCAAATAGAGAGAGACCAGAAGGAAGATGTCAAGGTAAAAGAGAATGGAATTTCTTTTAAGGAGGGAACATTTCTTAACTAAAGGCTCCTAAATAATAGTAACAAGCATTTACATACATGGTGCTTTAAAGTTTGCAAAGCATTTTACAGATATTATCTCACTTTATTCTCACAACAAACCTAGGCTGTAAGAGGTATTATCAAAATCTTACAGAGAAGGAAACTGAGGCAGAAGTTAGAACTTGTTCAGGGTCACAGAGGTAATAAGTGCCTAAAACCAGATTTGAACTCAAGTCTTCATGACTGCATGTCCAGTATTCTATCCATTGCACCAGTGGATTAGACTAGTAATTCTGGCTTAGACTAGTAATTCATAAAAGGAAACAGCAGAACTCTTCAAAACTCTACAGGCACCTCACCATCACTTCACATTTCTGGGAACTCATACACAGCAGTTGTGCCAAGCCTAGGAGGGAACACCTAGCACAGAATTTTGATCACAATAGAATCTTAATGTTTGCTAAAAGTTCTACGGACCAATGGCTTAACATAGAACTACTTCCTATTCAAATTTCTCAGAGCACCTTGTCTACAGCAATGCCTTACTCTTGTCTAATCTATTCTTTTTTTTTTTTTGGTGAGGCAATTGGGTTAAGTGACTTGCCCAGGGTCACACAGCTAGTAAGTGTTATGTGTCTGAGGCCTCATTTGAACTCAGATCCTCCTGAATCCAGGGCCGGTGCTCTATCCACCGTGCCACCTAGCTGCCCTTAATCTATTTTATCATATGTCCTCAATCCATATATGTCAAGGATCAGTGGCCTGTGTTAAGTCCTAGCCTAAAATCAAGCTCCTAAAATAGTACAGTTGGCATAAACATTTAAGTGCCTACTATTTGCCAGGCACTGTGCTAAGCACCAAGGATACAAACACAAGAAAGACAGTTCCTGTCCTTAAGAAGTTTACAATCTAACGAAGAAAGATAACACACAAAAGGAAGCTGAAAAGCAGGGGAAAGAAGGAGTGAGGGAGAAAGGTATTCAGCAAAGGAAACTGATGGACTCCAAAGGAGTGCAGCTGGGTGGGAAATAAAAGATGGCACCCCCCTTATATGGAGGTTTTGTGAGCTTTTCTCTCATCCCAATCAGAGAGGTCCCAGGGCAGAGAGTACTGATGAGGTGTGCATCCCAAGGCTGATGTAATCTTGCTAGATAATGAGGTTCCTAATGGCATGAAGAAGTAGTAAAAAGGAAAGCACCTGAGAAGGAAATAGAGTATTTGGCTAAGAATCCTTAGTGAGGGTTGTCCTGAACACTTGGAAGGGACAGCATCAATCTTACAACACCACATGGGGTATTACAGAAATTGTAAGGAAGGTATCTCATGAAATTCTCTGTCTTCTAAGCCTCCCTTTTGCTCAGTTCTCCCCTTCGCCTCCTTTCTCCCACTTTTGGAAAGACAAGCCAGAACCCTAGAGAGCCTGGGGAAGCATGGCCCAGGATGCAAAGGGGTAGAGTGGTGTGTCTGTGTGAAAAAAGGTCAGGAATGCACATGCCTCCTGTGAGATTTTTCTCCATGTGCACTTACCACATTCTTCAACATTTGTGATCTGATTTAGGCTTCCACCTCAAAAGTTAGATTGTAAGTTTAAGAAAAGAGTCTATGTCATATTCATATCCCCTTCCCCCAATATAATGCCTTGCTAAAGGTTAATAATTTCATATTTCTACAGTACTTGAATGAAGCAGTTCAGGTATTATCTTCATTTTACAAAAGAAGATGCAGAC